TGATGATATCCAAACCGGGTATGCATATATATATGAGTCGGGATCCCTTAAAGACAAAAAAAAGGATTAAAACAAAAATCTTACAACTGTCATGCATATCGAACTGACGGCATTCTTCCCCGGGCTGCTGCAGTACTTCCGTATGCTGGCGGAGGGAAGGGCGGGTCGATAGGACCCCCTGGGCCGTAGCCTTGCTGCGGTGGGTATGAAATGAAAGGGTCTGCCGGTCGTTGTCCTCTCCATCCCGAAAGCCCAGGTGGTGGCGGGGAAAAAACTGCTCCTTGCGTCATTGGGGCCATCGACTTGGGGGGTCGACGTGTTCGACATCGTTTTACTATACAGCTTAGGATTGAAAGGAGGAGCAGACCGCCAATACCGGCTGCAAGACCAATAACGAGGCTTCTATTGTTGTCGATCCAGGACTTGACTTCTTTTCCAAACGACGAGCCTTCGCAGACGCCCTAGCAAAGAAAGAACCTGGTTAGTACGTATGCAGAAGTGGAGGAGCGAGGTCCCAGATGATAGCACTTACGTTTTTACACCGCCCACCAGCAGTACAGGGGGTTCCATCAAGGAAGTTCTGGTTGAGTGACGAGCAGGTGTTAGGGGGGAGGGATGGTGACGAACACGTCAAGGTGCACGTCCGGTCATCGCAAGAGTACGTGTCGTTGCCGCCGAGCAGACTACCCATCAACGTTTGGCATTGGCGGTCTCTGCTCGTGCATTGTCCACTGGCACAGGCGAGACCGTTCCCACATGACTCTCCATCCGGTTTGTTTTTGTCCGGAGGGCAATTAGGGGACTTGCCAGTACACTTTTCCTCAGGATCACAAGGGCCAGTGCTAGCCCTGCAAACACTGTCGCTGGATTTATCCTGGCAATTTTCGCAGCATTCCTCGTTTGAATCGTCGCAGACTGCATTATCTTTAAACTTGCATGTTTGGGCATCGCAGCAAGGGTTGCCTCTGCATGAAGCTTCTCCCCCGCAATCGCAGTCCTCGCCTTCCTCCACGATCCCGTTCCCACACTGGCTTCCGGTGATGGTCACCACGCCGCGGTTATTCACGAGACAGTCCGACCGCACGCTATTACGTCCCATGCCCGAACAAATGTTGCCGACGGTACAGGGTGAGAATTGCGTGATTCCGCGGCCGGAGGTGGGGTTCATGATGAATCTTCCATTTGCATTGCAAGAGCCTCTGGAGAAAGGACAGCACTGAGACGTAGCTGCTGCTTGCTGATTGCAAAGGCTGGCGTCACAATCATGGACAGCTCCAAAAGTGTGCCCAACTTCATGGCTTTAGTACAGAAAGTAGTTAGTGATACGCCCACGATTGTAACGCTAAATGAATGTGGGGGAGCACTCACGCAAATACTTGCCACTCGTTCGGAGTGCGAGCGACCACATTAGCACCTGTTACGGCTTGCGACGAGCTGTTATTCGGATTTGGATTACCACGGACGTCACGGTTGCACAACTGCCCGAGCCAAGCAAGCCCAACTTCGGCGCCAGTCCTACAGTTGCTCATGAGAGTCCAAAAGGCATTGTCGTCCTTTTGCTTCCCACGCCATGCCGAGAACAAGTTGAGTCGTTGACCAAGAGTAAGGGCATCCCCAGCCCCACCGCAGCCGACATTCCATGGAGCTGAAGCTACAGGCGATGCAGGACAGGCTGCAGGGGAAACGATCAAATTTCGCAGGCCAAGTGAGACGTTAAAGGTTTCTTCGTAAACCTGGGACGCACTGTTGACGACACTTATGACATTTTCTCTGGTGAGCTGCGGCTGTGAATCGAAGGTCTGAGCGTAACTGCAGTCAGTTGCCACCCCGATTAAAGCGACTTTCCTCCTGGATGGGCAGCCCGCAGTGCTTCCGATGGTCGTGGCCAAATTCACCCCGCCAGCATTCCCACCTCCTGGCATGTCCAATTGTCGTCGGCTCAAGCCGAAGACGGATTCCAACGACATGGAACCCCAACGAGTAGTGTCCCGCTCTGCCGTTCGGCGAAAGACGGGATGGTCGGGATCCGAGTTAAACAGCAGATTATCAGCTCCGCAAGAATGGGTCTCTGGAGAGGACCGTTTAGTCACATCATCATCTTCGATCAACTCCATATCAGAATCCCGAAAAACTATCATGTACTCCCCGGTGGTGTCCTCCACATCCTTGTCGAGTTCATGCTTTGACTTGGCATAACTTGATCTTAGCAGAACGTGATGGTGGTCATGGTTTACGGTAAAGGTTCCTTCGAAAAGAGGGTTGAGCCAATCTTTCTTGACAACCACACGGGCCCAACCGGCCCGTTCCCAGTTTCCTTCAGCAACTTGAATCCAGGACCAACCCTTGAATACCTTGTGATCTTGTCGCTTTATGAATTCTGATTTCTGGATATTTCCAGCCTGGTCCAGGAAGTGCACCTGGGCATCGTCGGGAAGGATATCATGATTAGGCTCTAAGCTAAGTTTTAGCCGCTGCCGTCTCTTATGGAGTTCGAACGTAATATCGAAATGTGACAGTGCATTTACTCGATGGGATGGAGTATGGATAGTAGGTTGTTCGACGAGGGAAAGATAGCCGATGTTACTCCGTCTTTCGGAATGTGCTGGCCAGGGGATGTATCGTCAGCATCGTAACTTTATTCCCAAAACACAAAATCCTGCGGGAACAAAGGGGACTTACCATCAACGTTAGAAGTAAAAATTGAGAGAGCACTGGTTATCAATGGAACCAAGCCACGGAAAAATCGCATAGCGAGAGAAGTTGGGCGCTACGACTCAAGGGCCGTGCGGAGAGATGGTCAGAAAGCCGCTCTCTCAGCAACCCTGGATCGAGGACAAAACCCAGAAAAAAGAAAGAAAAAAGTATACGAAATAACCAAAAAAATATGACAGTCGACAAAAACAACAGATATGAAAACCCTGAAAACGTGGAATGAAACTGATGCTGATGTGTGATGGATCGTTGTTCCAAGCGGCTGAAAAAGTTCGATGTCAAAGGGAGATGGGATGGGATGATAAGCGGCTCAAGAGCCAACAACAGGCGCAGCACAGTAGGGCGGGGCAACCACAAAAGGAAGTGTAACTAACGCTTACTGCGTAGGCTGCTGGAGGAGGTGAGTGAGGCGAAACCCAGACAGTCAGCATCCGGGAGGCACCCAGCAACTGCGTATGGATTAATTTATCTTCAATTATCAATTTATTATTATTCGACCTGATCCCCCCGACAAAAAGGAAAAGGGAATAATAAAACTACCAGCCAACCTGCGCCAGGTTAGGAGTGTGATTCTGCCCCAAACCAGGTGTCGCAACTCCTTGCAGAACCGAACTGAGCAAAGTAGTTATTGGTCGAATTGGGACTAGAGTGATGATGGAAACGGCAGCCCAGAATCAATTTGAGTGGCTTGTACAGGCTACGCTAGAGTTATTTAAGTCCTCCAAGCGTGGCGCAGTCAGGGAATCTCGGACAGCGAAGATCAAGATCTTGGTCGGATCAAGTGGAGCCAGAGACAGGTGAGTGCGACGCAATTTGGAATCAGTACTAGTAAGTACGATCTGCCGGTGGAGGTAGAAAGGCAGCGATAGATGGCTCTTGAAATTCAATGAGAAAGGGTGGAAACGAAGTGCCAGGGACTCATTGTCCAGGAAGATTGAATATTTATTGGGAAGTGGAAGATGGAGGAGGAAAAAAAAGAACGGAGATGGAGTCGGTTTTTGCCCAAAGCATTGGCGGGAGAGCCGCTGAGGCTGAAACACGCAAGGTTGGAAGCTGGGCCCCAACAGCCCTGGGCACGGTCAGCCAAGTCCCTGGATATGCAAAATCTTGCCCACTTACTACTACATAGTATCACTGCACACTGCAGTATCCGGTGCTGCTTCTCGGCTACTACTGGGTTTATCTCTGGAGATGGAATAATAACCTCCATATTAGCGCCAGAAGATACTAACAACCATGTTCAGCCTCTCTTACAAACTGTGCCTAGTTCCCTTGTGTCAGATAAGGTTCATCCGAGGCCCGAAGAAGAACCAGACAACGTCATTGGGGGTCTGGGAGATGGTACATGGTAGCGGCTGCGCGAGTTAATCGGGCCTGAGTTTAACTCTCTTGTCTGCCAATCTCGATCGGAGACTGCGATGACGTCTCCCAAGCCTGCACGCAGGACGCTCAAACAGGCCAAGTTCGCCGTTATGTTGGGTCCTGTTTCGGATTCGTCAGTGTGACAGCTCGGAACCCAAGGATTGATGCGGTAGTACTGTGTATGCTGTATATACTCATATACATAACTATGAGTGTAATAATAATAAATCTAAAATGTCTAGCCACTAACTCTATTAATGGGCTGCTTTCCAGAATTTTTTGTCACTACTACTAGGTATCATCAATATATATCATCGATAGATAACACTAGCAGACGCCATTGCTAGATATCATCGATATATATCACCAGTGAATATCATTCATTCAAGCAGGTCAGTAGATAGATAGGCAGGCAAGCAGGCAGGTAGCCAGCTAGTAAGCTACTATTGGTAGGTAGGTGGGTAGCTAGATGGTGATGTTTATCCTCATAGAGATCGATTGGATATTGAGTAGGCAGGTTAGTTGGTAGGTAGGGAGGTAGATAGCTAGCTATCTACTTAACATTCTATATCCCCCTCCCCCCCCCTCCCCAAGCTTCGTATGATTCTTAGAGACTTACTTTATCCCGCTCAGCCGTTTGCCTTCAATATATGCACCACATATAACATACGCCCAACCTTTCTTCAGTTACGCTTCCTTGCCCACCTAGGAGAGTTAAATCATCGATAAGATCAGATGTGTTTAGCGAGCCATTGCGTGCATTGCTGAACTCGCGGGCTATTTCCGCAAAGCCGCGGCTTTTCTTGGTAGAGGGGCAGCGTTGAACCTAGGTATAACTCCAAGCTGGGGCTCGTTGGGGATTAGTTTAACCAAGATCTTAAAACAATGGCAAATAGATCCATAATATTAGAGATATTCGAAGCTTAATTAAATTCGGGTAATTGTGCCATGCCTTCAGGAACAAAAGAAACAAAACTTGACGCTGATGGTGTTATTCAACGTCGCTCCCGATCTCATCTCTGAGACTCCGTAGCGGACAGGGAACAAAAAACAAAGAAATGTGGGCGTTAAACGGCCTTGGGGTCGAAAACAAGGCACCTAGTCAATAACCTGCCCATTTTCTCCTTATCGTTAAATAAATGAAATAAAGTTTCAAGTGGAAATAAATTCAAGGACAAACAGAATGGTACACTTCGTGAGCTCGGAGGGCAAAATGAGCTATCTGCGCACCGCACGTTACACATTCAGTCATCATCATGATATCGCTGTTGTTAGTGCCTAGTATATCATCTTCCTCTTCTTCGCTATCCCACGCCGCATTGCCATCATCACAACCGTCGCCAATCATAGCAGTAGAACCAACCATTTCCTCTCCTTGTGGCTCAGCATCATCCCCTGCACCCTCTCTGGCCTCCTTCCAACCCTCAACCCTCCACTCCCTCGACGCTCTCCCCTGACTTCGAAACATCCTCCCAATATCCCTCCCTGCACCCCCCTTATCCACCCCCGCAACCAGAACCATGTTTGTCACCGCAACGTTCATCACGCAGATCTTTCCCGCGCCCGATTTTTCCGGATGCAGTCTGCGAAAGAGCGGGAGGATGGTTTCGTTAACGAGGCGGCTGGCTAGAGGGTCTATTGATTCCCATGTTCCTCCTCCTCCTCCTCCTCCTCCTCCTCCCCTGCTATAGCTCCTGCCATCAACGGCTTTGTTGTCATTGCCATAGCCATCACCACCGCTCTTATCATGGCTCTGATGATTCCGAGGACCATGGCTAATATTGCCAATGTTAAGCAGCGAAGCGAACACATACGCCGGTAGAGGACAGGACCTCGACACCCGCCCCGCGCTGAAATCGCGCGTCCCGTCAGTGAGCGGGGGGAAGGCGTGAGCGTGTCGACAGCCGAAGTGTGCGCGGGTGCGCAAGCCATCGTCTCTTCGTCGGTTTTGTTCTTTCAGCAACATCCTCCTCCTCCGCTTTTTCTGCTTCTGCCTCCTCTTCTCCTTGTGCTTCCTCCTCTTCAACCTCCTCAGTCAAGTCCACAAGCATGCGCCTAAGAAGACTCCGAACCAGCGCCACCAGCTCTAATCGCACCACATTTAACCCCTCCAACCTCCCAACGCCATACGAATCCTCAATGCTGATCTGCGTGGGGACAGCTCTAGCCTCTGCCACGAGGCTCGGGTCGATCCCATGAAGTAATCCCCAGACCTTCATTCCGATATCCCTAGGCCATGTTCCGCCGGCCCCGGCCCTGCCGCTGACACTTCCACTGCTGATGCCGCCGGAAGACGGCGATAGTAGTATCTCATTCAGCATCCGCGGACACATGCCCGGATATAGCCGGACATCTCTGACGGTGACGTGGTCCTCTTTCGAGAGCTGTTCGTACATGCCCGATGTAGGCTGGCGGCCGAGAATGTGCGCGCGGATCTTCTGGGCGATTTTGAAACCGATGCCCGGGATTGCGCTGATGTCATGGGCGTCGAGGAAACGGGTGATGGTGCCCTGTTGGGCATGGGCGTGTTCTTTGTCAGCATTGTCATTGTCATTGTCATTTTCGATGTCGATGTCGATGTCGTTGTGGTTGTCGTCGTCGTCGTCAGCACAAGCGCCACACTCATCGGTGGAATCATACGGAGGCAGAAGAGTCGTCTGGTTCCGCGGCTTGTGGACGTTTCCCGCAAGCTTTGCTAGAAGCTTGGAGGTGGAGATGCCCACTGTGGCTGTGTAACCTTTGTGTTCCTCGAGTTGGGTGCGGATGTAGCCCGCTAGATGCGAACCAAGGATCAGGCGTTGGCATAGTGCGTTGCTATTTGCATTGTCTTTGCTACTGGGTGAGAACGGATGTGTCTGAGAGTCTGATGTGGCATATGGGGCTGAGCCATCATCGGATTGGTGAGATGGGGGATAAGAAGGCCCCGATACTGTGCGGGCATCGTATGCAAAGCCCTGAGTGGGGTCTGTCTTGTCAAGATGGAAGAAGGAGCTGGATAGGTCATTGTAGTTGAGAAGCTCGATGTTGTAGTCCACCAAAGAGGTGACGTCCAAGAATACCTATTTTATTTTCGACGGATGATAAAAATTAAATAATGCTAATCGATCGACAATGAAGGATATATATTCAATGGGATAATTGACGGCAGAAGCATTTTAAAAAACAAAAGCAAATAAAGTAACATAAAATAAATAATAAGTGAATCAAAAGAGAGCACCCACCTCATCAAACCCCAACCTCTCAACCCTCCCGCCCCAGCCCGACACATACCCCTTCAGGAACGTATAGATCTCCTTGCTCGCATCGCGGAACCTGGTCAAATCCTCGCCCGGCACGATCACCACGTCCGGACACACCTTCTTCGCCTCCTTGATCAGTTGCAACTTGCGCAAGCCGCGCCGGCGCGCTTCATAGTTACACGTGACGACGATCTGCTTCTGCTGGACGGCCAGTGGCACTGCTTTCAGCGCGGGGTTTTCCACTTCGAATACGGAGGCGTAGAAGGAGTCATAGTCCTATTGTTTATTGTTATTATTATGGTTGTTTTGTTGGTAGGAAAATGTTTATTTTTTATTTATTTATGTATTTTTTTTTTTAAAAAAAAATAAAAATAAAAATTGTTTGGGTGTCCTTTTTGGGTCGACTTTCAATTGATACACAGCCGAATGTCGGGGG